TAGTAGTAGTGTTTCTCTTCTCTCAGTCACAGCTTTGCTGTCATCATTCCTTACCTATATCTAGAAATGGAAGTATCCAAACAACTGCAAAGGATGCAAACTCCTCCAAACAACAAAATATTAAGTAAAGAGTTGTACTCACATGTTGAGAAGCTGGGCTCCACCTCCCAGCCAACCAGTGTTAACAACAAAGGTTAGGACAACTTGACATACCAAGCAATAACAATTATTCATTTCCATAAATTATACAAGAAACACAAAATCTCTATATTAATCATACAAACCTTTTTAGATTTCTTATCATATGTAATAAATACATTTGATCCCTGTCATATTAAAGAAATAAAAAGAAATTGAACTTTGCTGAAGAATTTTATCACTGAACAGACAAGAAAAGGAAACTTTTCCCTATCAGACCACAACCTCTGTAAAACAGCAACTTAAATAGCACCAAAGTACAAAAAGTGGAACTTCTTCCCCACCTCCTGCATTATATGCCGACACTAATGGCTATGACCAAATTAACAAGTAAGTAGTTGCCACAATGATGATTTTGCTTCAAAATGAGGAAGATTCGCAACACAAGACACAAGATTTAGCCATAAGTATAAACAACTCTACAACACATACATGCACATGTTAGTAAAACTTAACTTGAAATGGAAACCAACACCCAATAGAAAAAAAAAGATACTGATCCAACAATGCGTTGACTTTGATCTTCCTCCAATTTATTCCTTTCAGTACCATCATATGCATATTTTTACTGTAAGTTTTAACAATATAACAGATCATTAGAGCTTTGTAACTGAAATACAAAAAAAGATATCATTTGCAAAACAAGACAAAAACATCCTGAACTGAGTTATGCCATCACATGTATCACAATCCTCACACACACCAGGCCATTCACCACACCTTAGGAAGCAACGACTTTTAACTGTCAGCTAAGCAAATAAATACTTTAAAAATAGAGTACCAATAAAAAGTAACTTGAACAACATTTAACTCCTAACAAAAGTCACCCTGTTTACTCTGTAACCAACAGCAGCCAAAAAGCAGCACCAAGATACTTACATTGCACCTGTACACTTGTTCCTAGATTAGATAAGACAAGCTAAAAGCTTAGGCAACATATCTAAAAGCAAATTACCTGCAGTTTATAAATGCCATATGCAGTTACAGAAAACCTGCATAATTGTAAATGCTTTCATGTTCACAACTATTTCTGACAAAAAATAGCCTATAAACCACAAATCATGTAGAGAAGTAGTAGTGGTAGTAGAAAACAATCATAAGTACAAATAAAACCTAAGTTAAGATTCCCTATCTTCAAAAACTTTAATATCTATAATTACACAAACAAAGCACAACACTGGTGGTCACGTACTTACATAAACTACTCACACACTGTCATTATGTACAAACATGTGATATGAAGCTGCTATAAACATGAAATCACCCATACATTTGTCTTGGAGACCAGCATGGTGGACACTGTCCAGATATCTGTGCCATACATAACATCTGCCCTGCATTGAATATCAGTTTTTTTTTTTTAAAGTCCGCTTGGGACTCACACACCATTCAGAACTGAGTATCGCACCAAAATCACAGTTCTATGGCACTCGGAGGTAAGCTAGCAGACTTGTCCTTCTATAATATCATTATCATATTATTTATGGATACATCTGCTGTCTCGGCTGCACCAAATACAGACAGTGAAGACTTCATTCTCACTACTGAGATCTATTGCACCACCGTAATCTTGATATCAAATATTTACGAAGTTTTTTCCCTTCATAATTCCAGATTTTTCTAATGACTAACAAACTTTCTTCCACACTCAAGCTAGAATTTCAAACACAACTGCCCTGTTAGTACTAATATTATTATTGCTCTTCCATTTTCCAACAGATCAAGAATAAATAATCTACATCAGAAGACTCTTCTCTACATCACTTTTTACGATACCTTTGCCAAGGTGCATCTCAACTCACTCCTTTCCTCACTTTAACTCTCTCCTTTCACATCTTCAAAGAAGTGCCTTGGTGCCGAAGGGAATCTATGCGCACACAGGGTGAACGTCTTTCTCCCTCCCACTGAACACAAAAACTGCACCTTCCTGAGGGTAAATGAGCCAGGGTGCGTCAGCATTACCAAACCGAGCATAGTTGGGGATGGGCGTCCTTCCATCGCCCCATTGCCAAAGCCCAGTCACTCACTACCTCTCACAACAGACACTAACTGCTGTTGCCGGCCTTCTTCTTCTCCTCTGGCGGGGCATTTGTTGTACTGGCACCAATGTTCTTCATCGCATTGATCTCCATGAGCTTACACCAGTTCCTGTACTCGTTGGCCTCATCTGAGAGCTTCTCTGCTTCATCCTCCACCACCTCCGCACTGGTGTCAATGGCCCCTGCAGTCGCCTCCATGGCCGCCTTCAGCTCCTCATCGCGGTTCTTTGTGGTTTTGTACTTGTAGTGTTGAGTATGCACCTAAGGGAGCAGAGATAACACATGTTAATCCCAGTGATAACGAATGTAAGTACACTAAAAAGTTAGCACACAAGGTTTATTTTACCAGTTTCATAATTCAGATTTGCTACAGATTTAGGAAGAAGGGGCAGGGGGAGGAGGACATACTGTTGGGGTAGAAAGAAATGGAGGTAGAGGGAAAGGAGGATGAGAAGGATGAGGATAAGAATGAGGAGGAGGAGGAGGAAAAAGAGCAATACAAAAAGCACAGAATGAACAACTTTGACAGAACTGCAAGTTATATAATAATAAGAATCATAATTAATTAAGTAAAAATGATAGGACCAATAATACTACTAATAATAATATGATTATGCTAATGATGAAGATGGTAACAATAACATTGACCAAAAACTTCTTAAGGAACAACAATAATGATTATGATTGAAATTAATAAGGCAAGAATGTAATGATAATCATAGCTATGATAATGGACATCAAAATTATATTGGTAATAAAAGAAAAGTAATATAATAATGAAAAAAAAAGTTATAAACACAATAATAAAAAACAATAACATCAATAACAATAATAACAATGATGGTGATGAAGAGTGAAAACAGCATGGCCAAAAAATCAATGACAATTTTAGTTGATAAAGGAGCCTAATATGATAAAAACAGTGATAAAAGCCATAGTAAATATAAAATAATAATAATAATAATAATTACAATAATAATAATAATATAAATAATAATAACAATAATAATAATAATAATAATAATAATAATAATAATAATAATAATAGCAATAGCAATACATGACAAATAAATATTGAATTCAGAATCCCATTAACAACAAAACAAAAGCAAAAACAGCCACAACAACAATCATACAAACAATAATAAAGCAATGACAAAAGCAAAAACAAAAATGAGGAATTAATAATTATAAGAGAACATGATAAAAAGACAAAAAAGAAAATCCTCAAAACAGCAATTAGCTGTTGTCTATAAACAAAGTCATGACTTGTGTTTGTTACAATGAAAGTAAAGATAAAGAAAAAAGTACATGCATACACATTTGAAATGAAAGTTTATGCACGGCCACTTGCAGAACCATCTTCCCATTATCAATCAGAGTAATTGACATCATTCACAAATGACAATCAATGAATATCAATACTATTTGATAAGAGTGATATAAAAAGCACAGTTGATACTCATTCACCGTTGCTTCATTTTTTTCTTTTATTTTACAGTGCAAGAAAAGTAAGATAAATAAAAGATTTTGATCTCAGACAGGGAAGCAGCCCCATTTATTGTGGCTTCCAACTTACGACTGAAAACTTAATGTGAACAAAATATGGGACCTTCATTTATGAATATAAATATATGAACAAGATTGCACTTAATGTTATTTCAGTTCAAACTGAAAATTTCAGAAACCAACTTGAACATGAGCATCAGCTCTGGCTACACAAAGTTTAATGCTTTTTTTATTGCCCTTGCATTCACCAATTGATGTCCTGCATGTTTAATTTCAAGCTTACATAAAAATAATAAATATATAATGAATCAATAAAATATAAATAAATCAATGGGATGGGATAAAAAAGGTAACCGCATATATTATGGGTGAAACAAGGTTCAACTACACTTTACATAGACTCTTGTTCTCGATTTCTTGACTACCACCTATGCTACAATTCTAACAAGGTGACTTAATATTTTGAGTCTGTCCCCTATCAGTTCTAACTCCTTGAACTAAATTGAGCTTTCCTTTTATTCTTGTATGGATTCTGTAACTTGCTTCAGTTCTCTCTTCAAAACAATCATGATTTGCATAAAAAAGTCTATACAATCTGTCAAACAGCATGTACAGCAGCAAAGATTGCTGGTGCACAGATATTTCTCTACATTACTAAATTCTAATCAACAAATATTTGAAGGCAAAGGTTTTAAAGAATTCATAGAAATTAACTTCATGTGGGCAATAAATCTATGAAGTTCATAAATCTGTGCAACTCCAAATAGAATTTCAAATTAGTTTAGTCATCATTTTTTTCTTTCAGCTTCTCATGTCCAATTCAAAGCTAAAACATAAATGAAAAAAAATGCAATACATCTATGAATGCCAAGAACATAAGATAATAACACTAACTATGAAACTTAAAAATTACACCTAAATACTGTCTATTAGCAAATAACAAAACTATCAAATTTATAAGTTATCAGCCTGACAACAGATCCAATGAGGTAACAATCATCACTTCCTGTGATCTTTTTAGAGAGTAATGTCAAATACCTATTATCACCATTCAAACAGTTTAACATTTCTTCCATCACTCTACAATGGCAGTTCAGTGTTTTTATTGATGCTAACCCACTGGAGCCAGATACCTGTGCTGTTCACTTTTTACTGAGTTTTGTTTCACAGATTTTGTTTACACAGATAGTTCTACAGGCACTTGTCACCAGGGAGTCAATTCCTTGATCTCACCTGTTCACCCAAAAATGTTTT